GCGCTGTAGGTCCCTGACGGTTGTAGGAAGGCTGCATGTCGATGATGCCTGTACTTTTACGGCTGACTGGCCGATTGGCCGCCCTTAGCCGCTTCTTGAGCAAAGCGGCGGATAAGACCGTACCCTTCTTCGAAGCCATGAAGAAGAAGGAGGGATTCGCTTGGACTGCCGAATGCCAACAATCGTTCGAGGAGTTGAAACAGTACCTCTCAACGCCCCCAGTGCTGTCTACCCCCCAGGTGGGCGAGCCTTTATTCTTTTATCTCGCCGCCTCAGCCAAGGCAGTGAGTTCGGTGTTGGTCCGAGGAGGAGGACCGAGTCCAGCACCCCGGTTTATTACATATAGTCGCTCGCTGAAGGCCGCTGGAGACGCGGTACGCCCGTGTTGGAAAAGATTGTGTATGCATGGTAGTCACCGTGCGCAAGCTGGCACCCTATTTCCAAGCTCATACCGTTCGGATTTTGACAGACCAGCCGCTCGGAAGCGTGCTAAGAAACCCTTGTCCTCCGGCCGACTTGTAAAGTGGGCCGTAGAGTTGACTCAGTACGGATTGAATACCAACCCCGGCCTTCCATTAAGGGTCAAGCCTTGGCCGACTTCCTGGTTGAATGCACGGCAAGTGAGGAAGAAAAGGAACATGCCTCAGAGAGCTGCCCAGGCGAGTGGTGGGAAATGCACAGCGGACGGGAGCATCGAGTCGACAACACTGTGGAGGCGGTGTCATGTTCATCACTCCGGAAGGATTCCGGCTATATTACGCTCTGAGATATCGGTTCTCAACATCAAATAATGAGGCCGAGTACGAAGCGGTATTAAACGGCCTCCGACTCGCCAAGGCCCTGGGAGTCGAGCGGCTGCGAATCAAGACTGACTCCAGACTGGTAGTCGGACAGATCTCGGGTACGTGTGAAACTAAGAATACAAGGATGGTACTATAGAAAGAGCGTGCGGTCGAAATGTTAAAAGGGTTCGGGGCTTACGAGATAGAGTACATACCCCGCGCGGACAACATGGAAGCCGACCTATTGTCCAAAATTGCCCTGGAAGGGGTACCGGACCACCTGATAAAAATTTGCCAGAAGGAGGAGTTAAACCGGCCGAGTGTTGAGGAGGCACCACTGGAAGTCCAGCGAGTAGATATCGAGGAATGGGATCGAGTGAAAAATCCCGAAATGTTCTGGATAGAGGACATCCGGCGATTCATAGAAAAAGGCGAGTTACCGGAAGATCCGGGAGTCGCCGCGAGAGTTCGGCGGAAAGCCCCTTCCTTCCAGATCATCGACGGACAGCTATACAAACAGTCGTTCGGTGGACCCTTACTAAAGTGCCTGCTTAGACCCGAGGCCGAGAAAATAATGGACGAAGCTCATAGAGGCATTTGTGCCGCGCACCAGGGCGATCACACGCTCGCCAGGAAGTTGGTCGTTCAAGGGTATTATTGGCCGACCATGATGCGAGACTGCATCGAATGGATGTCCAGATGCGGCGTTTGTCAAGCATTCGCCAGAAAAGACACCCGGCCGGCCACCTTTTATACACCGGTCACCACTGCTATCCCCTTCGCCAAGTGGGGAATAGACTTGTTGGGGCCATTGCCCGTCGCCCGGGAGGTCTGAAGTTTTGTGTCGTGGCTATCGACTATTTCACCAAATGGGTCGAGGCAGAGCCATTGGCTAGCATCACTGAGTACCAATGTCGACGTTTTCTGTGGAAAAGGGTGATATGTTGCTTCGGCCTGCCCGAGCACATCGTCAGCGACAACGGGCGACAGTTTGACTGCCAGGCCTTCGCTGATTTCTGCCGCCGACACGGTATCAAGCATACCAAGGTCTCGGTGGCGTACCCACAAGCCAATGGGCAGATCGAGAATGTGAATCGAACGTTGGTCGATGGGATCCGGAAGAAGCTCGAAGACATCCGAGGAAGTTGGGCGGATGAGCTTGACCGAGTCCTATGGGCTTATCGCACTACCCAGCGGCGAGCGACGGGGGAGAGCCCGTTCTCGCTCGCATACGGCTTCGAGGCCAAAGTTCCAGTCGAAGTAGTCGAGCCCACCCACCGGGTTCGCACCTACTCGGATGCAGCGAACGAAGAGAATTTGCGGATCGAGAAAAATTTCCTAGAAGAAAGGAGGGAAGCCGCGAGTGCACGGATGGTCGAGTACCAGCAGGCGGTGAAAAGATATCGCGACCGGAGGACTCGCCCGCGAACCTTCCAGGTTGGCGACCTCGTGTTACGCGATCGACAGGCCAGTCAGCCCACCGAAGGGGGCAAGTTTGCGGTTAAGTGGGAGGGGCCATACCGTATCGCAGCGGTGGTCCAAGCCGGAACCTATAAGTTAGAGACTATGGAAGGCAAGCTCATAGATCGCATATGGAATGTCACCCATTTGAAAAGGTTCTATCCGTAGAAAAGGATAGGCCGTGTACGTGCTCAAGGATTCCAAACATCTAAATAAAGCACATGGGTTACAGTTAATCGCCTCGACCGAGAGACTCGGCAAGAAAAGATAGGAAACAAGGGCCCAGACCCTTAGACGTTTCTGAGAAAAAGCCTACAGGAGTCGCCTCGACTGAGGGACTCGGCGAGTATTGAGAGAAACGACGGGGGCACTGACCCTAAACTGTTTCTGAGATAGAAAAAAGCCTAATGGGTCGCCTCGACCGAGGGACTCGGCAAGAAAAGATAGGAAACAAGGGCCCAGACCCTTAGACGTTTCCGAGAAAAAGCCTACAGGAGTCGCCTCGACTGAGGGACTCGGCGAGTATTGAGAGAAACGACGGGGCACTGACCCTAAACTGTTTCTGAGATAGAAAAAGCCTAATGGGTCGCCTCGACCGAGGGACTCGGCAAGAAAAGATAGGAAACAAGGGCCCAGACCCTTAGACGTTTTCGAGAAAAAGCCTACAGCAGTCGCCTCGACTGAGGGACTCGGCGAGTATTGAGAGAAACGACGGGGCACTGACCCTAAACTGTTTCTGAGATAGATAAAGCCTAATGGGTCGCCTCGACCGAGGGACTCGGCAAGAAAAGATAGGAAACAAGGGCCCAGACCCTTAGACGTTTCCGAGAAAAAGCCCACGGGAGTCGCCTCGACTGAGGGACTCGGCGAGTATTGAGAGAAACGACGGGGCACTGACCCTAAACTGTTTCTGAGATAGAAAAAGCCTAATGGGTCGCCTCGACCGAGGGACTCAGCAAGAAAAGACAGGAAACAAGGGCCTGGACCCTTAGTCGTGCCTGTGGAAAAGCCTTGAAGAGTCGCCTCGACAGAAGGACTCGGTGAGCAGTTAAAAAAGACTAGGTCAAAGGACAAAGCGTCGAGCTCAAGATAATACGAAAAGGAAGAGAAAAGGGGAATTTCATTAAAAAAAGGCCCGAAAAGGAGGCCAGCCTTTACAAAAGGGGGCTGTCCCCAAACAGAACAGCCCTAAACTACGGGGGAGGGGGTGTCGACATCAATCCCTTCGACTTGGGCCCCTGCCGTTGGTCCAGTCAGGGGAACAGAAGAAGGGTCCTCGGCCTGAAGAGAGGACTCGACAAGCTCAGGAGGTGTCGCTGAAGGAAGAGTCGCCGGATCAGAGGTCGCCGGAAGAGCTGCCGGATCCCCAGTCGCCGACTGTCCTTCAGTCGCCGGAAGAGCATCTATCACGGGCTTGAGGCCCCAGCTCTCGGGAGTGAAAGAGGAGTCGCGGACCAGCAAGGCGGAATGGATCTCTGTCTGCGCCTCGCGAAAGCCGAGGCGATAGTCGCGCTCGCCCAAGTCTAGGAGGAACTCGTCACCATCCGGCGTCGACAGCCACTCCTTGGCAATCTCTTTTTGGCGAGCCTCTATCGCCGCCTTCACCTCCGCCTCGAAGGCGGCCGACTTCTTGTACTCCTCAACAGAGGTCGCAGCAATCGTCGCCACCTTGTCTCGCTCCTCCTCCCACTGACGAGTAACCCTCAGCATCTCAGAGTTGTGCACCTCCACCACCTTGAGGTGCTTCGCCTGCTCTTCCAAAAAGGCCTCCTCCGTCTGACGCAGCTTGTTGGACATAGACCGCATGTCGGTCAAATAGTTCTGCAGCCGCTTACTCATCTCCATCTGGAAGGTGAGGTTCTGCGAAACAGACACGAATCAGGTAATGAAAGGAAAGGACGAAGGGAAGGTCAAGAGGGAAACACTTACGCGGTACGATTGGCGCAGTGAGGCCTCGAGGATGTACCCGTCCCCCAGAGCATGAGTCGCCTCCACGTCCTTTGGTAGAAGGACGTTAGCACACCACTTGCGGACAGAGGAGGTGCCCATCCCGATCTGGGCATCCTCCTCTACCTCATGGCACAGCCGGATCCTTTTTGGAGCCGACTCGTCAGTTTGAACAGCCGGGCGCTTAGAACCGGAGCTCTCTGTCTGAGGAGGAGGTGGCTGTCGAGTGGGCGACACCACTGGCGACGGAGTCAGATCCACCACGTTTTGAGGAGGAGGAGGAGTCGGCCTGGGAGCCGGAGACGGTAGAGAAGAAGAGGCAGCAGCAGTACCGGAAGAGCGTTGGATCAGCCGACGCCTCATCTTTTCGGCTCTGTCTGCCATCTCGGGAGTCGATTCAAATGCCTCGTCGGAGCTGGAGGAGTCGGAGTCGTATGGACCTGTAAAAAGGAAAGAGAAAGCATGAGGTGTTCCGAGTCGGAATAGGGCGAGATAGGAAAAGAATGAGGGGTAACGAAGACTACCTACGGTGGCCGCACCCTCCGGTAGCAAGCCACGCTTAGCCATGGCCCGGACTCGGGACCAGTACTTGACGGAGTACGGCCCGAAGCCCTTCAAGAACTCGCCGCCCAAGACCGCATCGTTGGAAGGAACGGCACGTCGAGGACAAGACTTGAACAGAGCGGCCGGCCACAGGGTCGGAAAAGTGAAAGAAGAAAGGGCAGGGCGGATGAAGAAATAAAGGAGCTTCCAATCCTTGATGGAATCGGACAGCCCCTCGAAAAGCTGTCGCCCCGGGCGAGCGGCGACTTGAACAAAGCCCGGCGAGTGCGAGCCAACCTTGTTTACGGTAAAAAGATACCGGAACGGGTCGAGGTCCGGCTCGCACAGCCACCAGTGGCAGAGATTGATGAAACAAGTAAGGAGTCGGTGAGAATTGGGCACTAATTGGCCCGGAACCAAGTTATAATGCCGGTAAAAAAGAGAGAGAAAAGGACATGGAGGAACTCGGAAGCCAAAGGCAACCGAGTGTAGATGAATACCGACACAACCCTCGGGTGGGTCGTAAATTTGCCGGCCCTCCGGGGCAAGGACTATGGCCGAGGGCCCAAGAAGATACTGGGCCATCTCCAGATCCGCCGCAGTAGCGACGGACGGCGGCCCGGAAGGACGGACGATTGGATCGAACTTGCCCCGCGGCCGTATAACGCCACCCGGCAGAGCCGCCACCGTCGTTAGAGGAGCGGGGCTCAGCGGAGTAACCGCCCCCGAAGAAGAGGGGGTCGGAGGAAGAGAAGATGTCGATGGAACGTCCGAGGGAAGTTCCGTACGACGGAGGGAAGACGTCAATGGAACGTCCGCCGGAAGTTCCATACGACGAGGAGGAGAAGAGGAAGACGAAGAAGGAGAAGAAGAAGAGGGAGAAGTCGCCTCGGTGTTGTCGACCGAGTAACGACGAGAAGAAGAAGAGTGCGAGGAAGAAGACATTACCTAGGTCAGGATGGAAATTGGAGGAGGAACAGAGTGGCCGGAGAAGCTCGAAGTTGAAACTGAAAAGGAAGACTGGAGAAGAGAGTGGGAAGAGAGACGAAGTGGCTATTTGAAGGGTAAGAATTTCAAAGGGCGGCCACGTGCCATCTTCTCGTTGGAGGGGCTGGAGGTGACGAGACGTGAAGGGACGCCGCATTTAATGCCTCAAAAGGCGGGGCGACGGTTCAGGCCTAGGGTTAGCCCACAGACGGCGCGTCTGCCCTAGGCTAGGGTCGAACGTCACGTGACCCGGCCTGCTAAGCCGGAAGCCCGTAGCGGGCCATGGCCTCTGGGCCCACGAGATACGAACTGGAAGCTTCTAGAAGCAACCCGGTAGAACCCGGCTCATCAAATGATATCGGCCGAGCTCACGAAGAAATTCCGGTCGCGGAGTCGGCGATCAGACTCGGCGACTCCCTCGACTGGAGGATCTCGCCATAGCAAGACTAGGGGTCCGTCTCATGGATCCGAGGTCGGGCGACAAAATAGTAAGAAATTGCAAGGTTGGATAAGAAAAGCACACTATTTATTCAAATCAACACGAAGATTACAAAGCCCAGGACTCGGCCAGTGCAAACTACAAGAGAAAAACAGAGTCATGGCTTGGCTTCCTTCTCTGTCGACGAGCGGGCAGCCGGAGGACCCTCTAGGAAGTACTGGGGGGCGGAATGGTAGAGGACTCGGCTCAGGCTCTGGCATCTCGTCCAGATACACGACCGGTTTCCCATCGTCAATCATTTGTAAAGGCCTCTCCAGAGCGCTCGGCGACATGGCAACGCCGAAAAGCGGAGGAACCTCCCACACCTCTTCCTCCTCGGGAGCAGGATTCCCGACCTCTGGTCCGGGATCCTCCACCACAGGCTCCATCTCCACATCGATAGACTCCCTACACATCAG